GGCACACCATCAAATATAGATGAATTATTATTCACTGTAATATTCATTCTTGCCCCTCTAAACTGAGATCAAACATTAGGCCTGCATGAATACGTAAGAGTGCCCTCTAGACCAGTGGTTTTCAATTCTGGTCCTGGGGAACCACCGCGCTGCACATTTTGTGAGTCTCCCTAATTTAACACAACTGATTCAGATCATCAGCTCGTTAGGAGAGAGATCCATGTACCAAACTGAGTGTGTCAGATAAGGGAGACATTCAAAATGTGCAGAGCAGTGGGCCCCCAGAACCAGGATTGAAAACCACTGCTCTAGACTCTAAACATGAGTGTCAATCTGGCGTTTACCGTCACTGCTGGCCCGGCGAAAGCCAGACTGAAGAGCATGAGGAAGGGGATGACCTCCTTTGTGGGGTCAATGTAAGGCATGCTGAGACTGCGGTCATTGCAGCTGTAGCCTGAACGCACTGGCTTAAAAATATCTGTCAGCTCCAGGAAGTATAAGCTGACCACAGAGGACACCAGAATTGGGAGCTGTAGAGATAAAACGGAAGGAATATAATATATTAGATGGGTCTTGTTTACTAAATATGCAAGATGTGTTGAAAACAACAATGAAATTATGCAAATTTTATTAGGCAAATGGTGCACTGTCCCATAGTTTACTAGTTTGACTCATCCAGGCTAATTTGCAAACATGATAGGTGGCAATTATTCCATTGACAAGGTAATCAGCTTATTATATTGCAATGGAGGTACTGTATCTGATCATGTGACTTCTCATCTGTATTTTGCCACTGTTTCATGTTTAGGATTGAGCTCATCTGCATGTATTTCCCGTACAACGATGTGACTATTAACTACTATAGTATGATGCATCATTGGAGAAACTAACCAATTAGTCACATTCGTTTTCCTGAAACCATAATAAGATGGCTATACCTCCATTTTTTGAGCTATGTTGGTTCAACAATACAGACATTAATGACATCACATGCATGTGAAAAAATAATTTACACTAATTAATCGATTTGAGATCTTTTGATACTGCTGTAATGAACATAATTTTGCATTACTTTATGCTTGACTTACACATTTGTGCACAAGTACACTGTTCATAAACGGCACTGATTGTTGACACATTACAATTTTTAGACTAAGACATATATGTATGTATGTATGTCGCAAGTCTCTGTACTGTGAAGATGCTCGTGGGCGTTCCTATGCTGCCACTCTAATATTGTTAGACTGCACGTCTGGCCATCTTGAGAAAATGCAATCACAAATGAAATATATTGCAGAAAAACACAGACACCATTCTATTTTGACTTAAAAGCATTAATGATTATTCTAATTAGCCTTAAGAGAATTAAACGTAGCATTCTGCTGTTGAAGAGTGCAGTTATATAACTACAGCACTGTTCAGTGTATTAAATCATTAACCAGATTAATGATCGATCAATCAACTAATTAAACTTGTACTGCTAAAAATGACTAAAACATCATTCGAATTTGACAAATAATCAATTTTCTAGTCCCTAATATTTAACATTATGCAGGGGAAACTGTAAATATGAACGGCAAAAGTGCTAAACTGCTCACTGCATCATATAGCTAACAACACAAACTATCAATGTATCAGTCAAACTCACTAAGACTGATGAGTTTCTTTTCCACACATTTTCTTATATCCATGTGGTTACAGTAAAACCATATAAAACAGTGAAATCGCTGCAGAACTCTGTCCTGTCTTTCCTGCACTAGAGACATAGTCTTCACTCCTAGTGGTTGTTGCTCAGGAAATTCACTGCTTTCTTAACTTTGTCACATGACTCACTCAATGGTACATTCTGCATTGGTCACTAGTGCTCATGTCGCAGGAAGTCACCAGCTCTCCATTGAAAATGTGTGGAATCATGTTGTTGCTGCGTGTCACTGGTGGTGTGAACTTTAGTGTGAAGAACATTTCAATAATTTGAAGAACTTTTTACACCATAAAGTACCTTTTGAGGAATGCAAAGATTCCATGGATGTTAAAGGTTATTTATGGAACAATAGATTCCAGTTATTTTGCTTAAAGGGGTCCTATTATGCTTTTTCACTTTTTGAATTTTAGTCAGTGTGTAGTGTGTATGTTTGGGCATAAAAAAGATCTACAAAGTTACAAATCTCAAAGTCCACTCCAAAGGGAGATATTTTGTTTAAAAAAAATCCCTTTCCAAGAACTACAATGAACGGCTCGTTTGGACTAGTGCGTTGTTTTCCGGGTTTTGTGATGTCACAAAGCGTCCCATTAGAATATCATTAAAATAATTCCCGCCTACGGAACTTCGAATGGTTGGGGGGTGGGGAGGGGCGAGGTCGTGGGTTGAGTGCATCAGACAAGACGATGACGAAGAAGAAGTGCTGCTGTAGTGTCAAGTTTTCGCAAGTTATTACACATGCACCTGAA